AGCCATAGACATAAGAGATGTTGATGTCTGGGAGAATACAAAAAAGAAAAACGCAAGCAAATGAAGTTAGTAATGGTATAGGAACTTACTGCTGGCATTTTCTAAGCCACTCGAACTTTCTTCATGCCCAAGTTGTTCTCAAGTGCCGGGAGCACTCCTTTTCACACCACTCCTTCACAGCTTGTCAGTCTTAATGCTGCAATTTTTGACAAATCCATGGGTGTTGCAGAACCTGATCGAACCTGAACCTGATTGGTCCTTGCCTGTTTGCAGCGGAGGATCTCCTTTCTAAGATGTTGGCCGTGGATCCGAAACAGAGGTCGCCCCCTGTCACACGAGATCAAATGCTTCCATTGGCTGGTATCCTCCCTTTCCCAGCATCTTGTATAAAATTGCTCCTAGCCCCCACATTTCGATGGCTGCCATGTAGAGCTCCAATTCTTGTTCTCCACCACCTCAGCTGCCATGTACTTCGCTGTTGTGATATCTCCTAAAGGTGCTGATCACCACTTGTCATGCATGTTTAGCTTGGAAAGAATGTTGTCGAGCTTGAGATTCTGGTGAACCACGCCCCTCAAATAAATCTCTTTGAAGGTCTTTACCAGCTGCTTGATGATTCTGGCTACCAATCTTCTTGCAAATATGCTATATTTAAAAGACCAAATAATTATGGAATAACGCCTTAAGAAGGGAAGGCAAAATTTCCACCAACGAACACATGCCCTGTCCAAAAGGAGACTCGGACAACACCACAAAGTCAGCAAACTTTCCTGGCGTCAGCGACCCAACCAAATCCTCCAATGCATCTGCATACACAGCCGAGGATGTGTACCTGTGAATCCAAAAACAAAAACTGCATTTCAGTTTCTCATCTGTTATCTCTTACCCTGCCACTACGTCCCATGCAGAAATCCTTTCCTCGGGATGACTCCAGCCTGAAGTGTTCTCTCCACGGCTGTGCGGATTCCTCCAAGTGGATTCACTGCTACCACCTTGAGACAAACCATTCATGTAACGCCGAACGAAAAGTATTTGACAGGCTTACAGGCCAGTCAGATCCTAGAGCAACCACACTACCGTTTCCGAGGAGGGAAATCATTGCACTTCACCAGTTTATACCCCTCTTTGTGGCAAGCCTGTAGCTTTTGCGTTATAGAAGTGTAAAGTAGGGACCATGTATTAGCACCCACTCTGCAAAAGAGAGCCGATTAGGAAGGATTCTAGCAGTGTATCACCTTTTCATGTCCGTGTTCACAGAAGATTATAAAGAAGGTAAACTAACAAAAAAAAGCACATTACTAAAAAACAATCTTTTGTATTGTGTAGACAAAGAAGAAACAACTGATAATCCAGAAGAACAAAAAAAAAGTGAGGCTGTGTAATAAAGACTTTGTGAAACTTTAATAATTATAGGAAGAGAAGGTATGGATATCCATGGTTTCTTTGAACTCCTCTTTGCTCGGTTGGCCTTCACAGAAAAACGGCAACCATATTGTCAGCAGCAATGTCAATAAAAGAAGAAGCCAACCTGTGTCGAGGAAATACATGTCATCCAGAGCTTCAAGCTCTTCGTTACATCCCCCATAGAAGAATAATATGCCTCGCTCTGCGTTCACCAGCTCTTGGCATCAGCTCGGCACCAGTCGTCTTTACCTCCCGCCATGCCATTGTTTCTGGAAATACAAATGAATTCGCAAGTTTAAAACCAGCACAATGTATGTACCTGTGTCCAGAATATGAACGTCGTATAGATAGGCATTACCACCGTCCTCGCCACCCATGACAATGCAACAGTTCTTATAGGAAGAGCAGGTATGGATATCCCGAGGAATAGGTGAGACTCCAGTGGTAGAAATCTTCTTCCAGACAAAAGTATCTACAGGAAAAAAAAGAGTTTAGAAGAAAACCAGGAAAGATAACAGGATTTTACTCGTGTTCAAAACATGGAGGTCGTTGTAGTACTCCTCCTCTGAGGGATCGCTGGATTTCCCACATCCCCCAAACACGAACAGGTTGTCACCGATGAGAGATGCGCTATGTCCTTCTCTCGGAGCAGGAACATCACCAAAAACGTCGGGTTTCCCCCAGGTGTTGGTAGCTGCATCGGATGATAAGAACAAGAAAAAAAAATCGATAGAACTCACTTACCAGTATCCAAAACAAAGAGATCGTCTAGCGGGCTGGTTCCATCGGTACCACCAAACACATAGAGCTTAGACCCGACGGCCGTGGAGCTGTGGCTGTCCCGAGGAGAAGGGTGCGTTCCTTTCATCACAGGCTTGCTCCAGATGTACGTCCCTGCACGATCCCACCAAAACATGATCAAAACCATATTTCTGGAAAACCCAGAAGATGAAACTTATACCAATGTTGAAGACGTGAACATCGTTGGTCTGGCACTCATCCCGGCCGCAGCCACCGAAAATGTAGATGAGATTCCTGACCACATTGCAGGTGTGGCCCCATTTGCACCCCGGCGGCTGCTGCTGGAGCTGATCGCTGGATCAAGTTTATAGCGCTGCAAAATAGAAATCCCTCTCAATGCATTAAAAACACAACTGAAGAACAAGGAAGTGAACCGTGGACGAAAATTTCTATTTTTTCTCTTGATTCCAGCCTCGAGCACCTGGAACAAACAGGAACTTTAAGCCTCGAAAGAGAATAGCGAAGAGCAAGAGAGTGAAAAACCTTGATTCTAGTCGTGGTTCCAGCCTCGAGAACCTGGAACAAACAGGGACTTGAGAGACTCGAAAAAAGAATAGCGACGAGAGTTAAAATACAAAACAAGCCTTCAACGTCAAGACACACGACGATACCTTTGCCACTCAGAGGCCGACGCGTCGCAAAACGCTTTGATCTTTGCCTCTTCCTCGGCTTTAGCCGCGGCATCAGCCACAGGAACAGTAGCTTGCGGAACTTGTTGGGCCTTTGAAGTTTGCGGGTCCTCGTATAAGTCGACACCAAAATCATTGCTCCAATCGGACTGGACAAAAGGCAAAGGATCTCATGAGAAAAAGAGATTGACAAAAAAGAAAGACTCGAAACTTACAGTGGTCGTCTTGACAGGATTTTCCACCTTGCTCAAGAGTTCCTCCACAACTTTGGGCCTGCCAAATACTCCAGAGTCATAAACACAGCACACATAGAAAGCGATGAAAAAAAAATGCTTACTCTGGCTTGGGCTCTGTGATGAGCAAGAGAGTGAAGAACCTTGATTCTAGTCGTCGATGACAACGTGAATCCCCTTGTTGTCCGAGACGTCGTCCCTGTCGTGCGCTCCACCAGAGCCTCTTCGCCTTTCACTCCCAATCCTCGTCCGAGGAGAGCACGTCGATCTACCGAATGCACTTGCGCAGGCGGATGCCGGCGGATTTGTTCCCCGCGTAAGTCTGGAAGGCGTCGAGCCTGTTCTCGCTGATCATCGAGCACAACTATGGCGACACAGAGAAAGCGGTGAGCCTCTCAAACCTTTGCAAACGGAGAAAGAAACAGAGAGAGAGAGAGAGAGAGAGAGAGAGAGAGAGAGAGAGAGAGAGAGAGAGAGAGTACCCTCCCGCAAGCGATGATCGACGCTCTCTCCTCGTGCTCACGCGCCCTAGAAGAGAATTGAAATTTTTTATGATCCCAAAAGTCACGGCTCTCCTTTGTTTAATCTCAGCCATTAGATTTTGGCATATGCCCAGAATAAGTGTCGCCAGTATATGCTATTATTATACCGGCTTTTTCGTTTAAATATATGAGTACTAGCAAAAGTCCCAGCTACGCTGGGAGCATCGTGTTTATTCCTGATGTTTTAGTAATTTCAAAGAGTTGTAATTGTAATTGTAATTTTTAACATAATCATTATTATAGCATACATAATTAAACATAATATAATATTTATATTGAAAGTCCCTTTTACATTGTATGATCCCGATAAATGTAATATAAATGTAATAAATATCTGTTGTGCTCATTGAACGAAATCTGTTTGCAAGATTAACTGAAGAGAGCTACTTGAAGCTCCAGAAGCTTACTGAGTCACTGTGAACAATCCCAAAGCTCTTAAGCAGTATGTGCCCCTACAACAGCATGCCTTGCAAGGTGGCCTATGGAGCATAAGATTGTTCTTCTTACCGAGATGAGAAGGGTAAGTGATGTTTACTTCCTCTCTGTCTTATTTTCTCGTTGATACTGGTTTTTTCTGATATGACAGTTCACGTATCTAACTGTCCTCTACAGTTTATATAGGAAAGACTCCAGTCTCGATGTGGATGAGATTTTCTCCTTGTACTACATTGTCAACCAAGGCATTCAGGCTTTCCCCATCAACTTCCCCAACACTGCCTACAACAAAGCCTTGAAGGTAAAAGCCATATGCATTGTCTTACATAGTTTTGTGATGTTTTCCCATTCTCAGGCCAGGTGAAAGGTCATCAGGCTTATCCAGGACCTGATCAACCAGCGAAGAGCTTCTAGAAAGCCACAGGAAACAAGCATTCTTTTGTTGCTCATGGATGAGCTGGATGACAAAGGAGAGTTTCTGGAAGTGCTGAAATCATAGACATGCTCAACATGTACATAAACCCTGGTCACAAATTGATGGCTGATGGTTTCCTAAAGCAAAATCCTGATGTGCTCGAGAAAGTGAAGATAAACATTTACAATTTCATACAAATTTTCCTTCATACAATCTTTCTTCTTTAGGCTACATCCAGACTACTCTGTAAAAGTTTCAAACTTCTGTAATTATAAAAGAAAAAAATATTCTACTGAATTGTATTATATTTATGCTTAATATATAAATTATTGTTATATTATAACATGCTATATTATAATGTATATATAAATTTTTGTTTTTTTAGTATCATGATTTTTATGATATTAAAATATTATAGAATAAGTTATTAATATCTTAACTTATAATTTATAGTATAATTTGTCTAACCAGAAGCCCATGCATGCATTGTCATAAAGTGTGGAATACAAATAGATTTCCTATTCCATCTACATGATCAACAAGAAATAGATGTGACTCACTCTTATTGTCTAATGCTAGCTTGCAATAGTGTTGTCTGGATGGTGTCACCCTAATAACTTGGATATGAGCATACATCACTTTTTTTCTCCGTGGCAATTTGGCACATTGTGGCAGCATTACATCTTGAATGTCTGTCAGATCCTCATCACTATCAAGCTTCAAAAAAGCTAATCAGCTCACTACCCTGGCCTGAATTACCCTAATGCCTGGGTAGATAAAGAAGATATATCTTAGCCCACATATCACTGTAGAGTTCAAATGGCCAGTCCTGCATGTAGAGCTTCCGCATTGGGAACAATTTTCCAAAGATATTTGTCATCACAACGTCTGCTTTCCATTGAAAAAAAATGTGAGGGAGAAGAACATGATAATGCGGTGAGAGAAAAAATACAAGAAACAACTTTGTGTTTCTTTCAGTTAGATTCATTGTTTGTTTCAGAGTTCAAGTAAAAAAGGTTACTCACAAAAAGAATAGCAGATTGTATAATTTATGATGTTGAAGTGTTTAGAGTACATCCACACTTCCATACTTCGCATTTATACATTTTTATAAGTACTTAAATTTATTTTCTAATATAATACCTGCAGTCAAAAAAGTTATATGTGTATTAATACGAAATTATAATAGTGCATTAGCATTTGCATCAATAGGTGCAAACATTGAAGAGGTTGCAGTAGGTGACCCTTATTATTTTAAAATACATGGACAAGTTTATCATAATATTGGTTTATTCACAGTTATATATTTTAGATACTGCTCAAGCAACAGAAAAGTATGGTAAATAAGTATTGAAATAATAAAATCAGTGATATGATTTGTGATTTTTTGAGAACATTTGCTTGTGCTTCATCAGCATTTCACTTGACAAGTTCTTGTCAACTCATCCATGATGTTTTGCATTTTATCTAACACTTATTTTGCTTTTACTTTTGATTGTTGCCTACTTGATGGTTTGTTTGCATGGTTGGTTGTGTAGAATTTATTGTCTTTATCCATCTTCCTCTTGCCACTTTTTATGCTTAGAAACTGAATACATACATAGGTAAAATTCATGTTTATATTAAGCATTAGTCCTTAATTCTTACCATCACATCTCACCATTGTGGAGTTATCATTCTCCATCTCTTCAAAAATTTGGAGAGGTATTTTTTGAATCAACCTAACTTCTTTTGAGCCATCCATCAAAACTCTTATTCAGTTTCTATATAATAGTTGTGCTAACAGTGCATATACACGTGGCTTAGATAGAAAATAAAGAGATAGTTTGAATTCAAGTCTCGGCATCCTACAACACAGAACTCATATGCTCACGCTTCACACACTTAAGCATATCCATCGCCACCTTTTGATCATCTCTCCAAGTCCTCGTGAACTTTACAGGCACTAAGCAGTCACTAAGAAGTGAATGACATTCTCTTGATGAACCTATCTGCATCTTGTATTAGTTTAGTTCTCTTGAGAAAGTCTGCCACAGTACGTGCTCGTGTGATAAGTCCACATTATCCACATTCTCATTATCATCAGGATCATACAAGAGTGGAAGTGCCTGGAAATTTAGAAGCAGAGAAAACATTGTTCAAGTTATTACTTTCTGATCATCCCCAGAGGAAATAAGTGAAGAGTTAGGCAGCACACTGAGTACAAGAGTCACCACATCTGTGATCCATACGCCACAAATAGTTGAGAACCGTATGGAACTGTTTGCAGGACTTTCCCAGAGGCTCATTATGCGAAGCCAATGTTGTTGTTGTCCTTGTGTTCTCCACCACATCATGTGCAGGAAAGACAGAGACAAATAGGGATCATCATAACAAACTGCTCGAGGCTACCCCACCATGTGGAGATGATTCCAGTGGAGTGGTTCCATAAAGCTTCTCGATGTAGTCCCCAAGAACATGTTATATTGAAATCCCTAGCAATGGCACTACCACAGAGAATGCTACCGTCCCAACTCCATGCTCAAGCCCTGGAAGAATGCCTATCTTCCGGCCTGCTATGAGAGTTCTAAACAGCACGGGAGGGATTTTTTTTGGTGGGTTCCTCTTCGCAGTGAATGGATTCTCTTTAGTGAGTGTGCAGTTCCATGTGCTGATATCAGTAGCACTAAAGAGGAGGAAAATTCTGTATTGGGACAGCGAGCATAACTGCGAGTGTGCGCTCATATTTACATGATTCTGAGTCTGCGCAAGCATGGAATTTAAGTAAGCTTTTGCGAAAGTGACCGTGAGTGATATGGTGTAAGCTTTGTATTGCTTACTTGTTGCTTAGTGCTTCAACAGGAATACCAGAGGAGAAGAGACATCTTGCGACAGGCCAACTATAGGCTCCATGGTTCATGTGGAGGACACAGCCTGATTATGTAGAGGAGCTGTTGATATAAATGTAGAGAAGCAAGGTGACTTTGAGCTTGAACTGAGCAATGGGCTTGTACTTGGCCTTCTCGATACATATGTTACTGCTATGTGTGTTGGTCAGAGTGCTCACTTAGAGCAAAGAAGGAAAGACATTTGCTATTTTTTGTAGCCAGTCAAGGGTAGGAGACACCTTATATATAATGTAGTATTACAACACAAATACAATTGAATCTGGCACCACTTCACTTAATTTGTCCTCAGACATGTGATGCTAATAGTAATTGGATTTGACAGCACCATGTCCCTGTAGAGAAACGCATGGTCATCATTACCACTTCTAGAGCTGCTGCTCTGGATCACTGCCACCACGTTGAAGCTCACCTTGCCATTCAGAGATGGCTCCAAAGTGATAGAGCAAACCAGGACCTCATCAATCTCTGCTGCTCGTGGGTGATGACAGACCCTGTAAGATCTTCATCCCTGTCCCTTGTGAGATCTTCGTCCCTGTCCCTCGCACTGCCCTTCTCACCTGGCTGCTACGTACATGTGACTGATCCCAAACTGGTGGAGGATTCTCATGGCCTTGAGATCTTCTCACTGGTGATGGTACATGTGACTGATCCCAAACTGGTGGAGGATTCTCATGGGCTTGAGATCTTCTCACTGGTGATGCTGCTGCTGCTACTGCTGTCATTCCGACTCCAAATCTCCTCTCTCTCTCCAGCCACTGCTGTCATAGATCAGATAGCGATATGTAGTGGTGCTTAAATTTTGTATCCTGGATCCACATGAGAATGACGTGATAGCA